GAGAGAGAGAGAGAGAGAGAGAGAGTAAGAGAGAGAGAGAGTAAGAGAGAGAGAGCCAGACAGAGAGAGAAAGAGCCAGACAAAGAGAGCCACTACAAATACGTGATGCAGCAACAATGCTGTCTGATTACTATTGGTACTTCAGAAGCAGGACTCTGTCATCCAATCCGTAAGCCCCCCCCCCTCCCCTGCCGGCAAATCCTTTGACTAGAAAGTCGTCGTGTTTCTAATCCCGCTACAGGACTGGCGTCTTCTCATTGGTCAGCCGCGGTCGAAAGACGCAGAGCGCGGGCGGGTGTGCGTGATGGCCAAACTTCGGCACGCGCCTTGCAAAGAACAAAATACAGTCGGCGGTATTTGTGTGCTACCTACATACGACCCTTGAGGCCTCACCTGGTTCACCGCAGAGTAGGCGCTGAGCCAGTCGAAGTACTGCTTCCCCTCGACGTCCCACACCATCACGCCCTTCCCCTTGCTGAGGACCACCGGCAGGGGGTGGTAGTTTTGGGCGTTGTACCTTCGTTGGACAACCCAACAGTTTTGTTTGTTGTCGCGTCCGGCAGAAGCGCCACGGCACGAAAGAAGCGGGCAGACAGCGTCGATCGCCAAGGAGGCAAAAAAAAAGCAACAAACAGGTATAGGCGCAAGATGATATACAATATGTGACACAAGATAACACACCCCCTGGACCAATTTTCAAAGCTCGAGACTTGCGACAACGAAGAGGATGCATAAATGAAACAATACATTCTCGGAAAGCTCTAGACGAGACAGCTTCAACTCCACCGTTTTCCGCGCTGTAACTCTATCTGCTGTCGAGAAATCGAGATTTGAAAATCGGTCCAGGGGGTGTGTTATCTTGTGTTATCTACGGTAAGTACTCCATAATAGGAGTTGCGGTCCGCGGCGAGGATGCTTGCTCAACGATGAGGTGGTGTGCAAAAGAGCCAGCGCAGCGGGTGTTTCGTAACAAAAATTCAGCCGGGCAGGAAGTGAGTACACGCGGCTTTTCAGCTCTGAAGTAAAAGGTTCTTGACCGTTGCTTTGAACAGCTCCCAGCCACCCGGTCTTCCTGGGTCGCAGTCGCATCGCGTGTGTGTGCATAACGAACAGCGAACTGTAGTACAAAGGCTTTTGATCGTTGTTCGCGAAAAGAGCTCCCACTCTCGCATAGAAGAGACCGTTACAACATGATCAGAAACACATCTACACATGGTTCGGCATTTCTATTTCTGACGGGAGTGGCCCGCCCTACCCGAGCGACCAGAGTTATCATCAATCCGCACACCACCAATCCTTCCGGGTCTCTAGCCTACCGCCTATCTGTTGGTGGACATGTTGAGGGTGCTGAAGCCGCGTGTAAGATATCATATTTCGCTTTTTTTTCTCACCCTCGTTCAAGGATCAAGTAGTCGTCCGACGTGCTCGCCATCGCCCGCCTGCTGCCATGGAGCGCCGCCAGGTGGCGACCAAGCAGGCCTCTCCCACGGGCCTTTGCCGCTGCAGTAGACACGACACGGGCTGCCTGAGGCATGGTGGGTAGCATGTTCTGTCGGTGATAATGTGCAAGTATGTTGTGCGACATGGTAATCTACGGAAGGGGCACCCGCACATGGCTGGATGTTCAACATTGAACAGGGTGTGTGGTTGCTTGGAAATAATACATTTTTGGGGTATGGGGCTGGGAGGGGGGGCTCACATCGAACACCAGCGCAGTTGACCACGACGGACACCAGCAACGTCGGTGTCGCAGCAGTGGAGAGCAGCAGCAGCAGCAGGTAGACATCATGCTTGTTCGTGCAGGGAAGATGTCCGGGTATGTCAGGACGAGGACATGGTCCTCTGCGGCAGCGAGCCTTCAACATTGCCGAAGCATGTCGAGCGGTGCGTTTTTTTTTTGTCATAGTCTGTGTGCTGATGCTTTCCCCAGGTGCAGACATGAGGTCCTTTCGCAGCAGCAGCAGGGTGTGTAGAGTCGTCAGGCTCCCAGACCTAGGCCTACTTGCCGCATCCATGTATACGTGCCTATTATTGTGCCTGGCATGTACCCCCCTGATACTACCCTACAGCAGCTCGTGACGTGCGGCGTAGAAACCAAGTGCAACTTGCCGCTGCTCCGTCAAGCAACAGAGAGCTGTCCATACGGCGGCTCTGCGCCTTGGTTGTTGACTACTGCTGTATATAGGTCTCGTTTTCTTTGCCGTTCCTTGCGGAAATGTCCCCGACTAAGGCCAGTTGGGACCGATCAATGGCTTCCACGTTGCCACAACAATCGTGTTGGAGTAGACAGAGAAGGGCATGTGAGTGCACGCACACAGTAGACTAGTAGTTTGCTGTGCCTCTTAGGGCCGGCGCGTTTCTGAAGTGGAACGTGCCGCCGCAAGTGTGGAGGAACACACAGCAGTTTCTGCTATCGATATTTAAGCTCGATTCCACCACAACCAAGAGGCTGCCAATGCCGCCAAAAGAGGGTGATAAGAGCTTTCCGATGTAAATTGTATAGTTTTGTTAGATGTCGGACGTGGTCGGTTTTCACACCCTTGTTTTTGGTCGTGGGGCAATCCATATTTTATTTCGTGTGCGTCCGCCCGCATTTTCAACAGCTGCTTACGGGTTACTAATATGCACGCAGCAAAAATCGGCAAGCGTTTTGTGAGCGACTCTACCTTGTCTTTTCCAGCATGGTCACTCTCGTTTCGCTCTGCCGGAGGTGGTTTTGCAGCCCACACACGGCGGTGCGGGCCGAAACAGCGCGGACACACGCATAACACACGCGGTCGCACCTCACGAACCACGAGCGGACACGAAGCAGACCCCGCCGCCCGTCATTTTCCGTTGCGGCGCCCATGGCAACCCCTTTCGCCCATACGTTATCTAGGGGGCCGAGGTTCTTGCCGGCCGAAGACAACTGCGCACGCGCGTCTACAGCAGCTCTTACTGTCGAAATTGCTGTAATCTCGAACGGGTTAGTTAACTGGCTGTGGGAGACGCTGTAGACATGAGCAAACCACTGCAGCAGTCATGTTTTGCGCTCGGCCCTCCGCTTTTTTTGGACGCCAACTTCTAGGCGACAGCAGTATGTCGGGGTGTTGTTGACTGCGTTCTCTCCCGTCTTGCCACCCCTGTCTCGTTGGCTTGACAACCCCCCCCCCCGACACCGTGCGGGCAACAGGCACTAGCACTCCCGTCAGCAGCACCTCCTTCGACAAGATGAAGCAAGACAAGCGCTACACGCCGGCCAACAAGGTGCCCGACGAGGTGCTGTCGGCCATGGGCAGCGACGAGATATTCTCCCCGGGCTTCAGCATCAAGGGGCAGGCGTTGGCGGGGAGGCCGTCCTACCTGGTGAGCGAGGGACTGACTGCCTACGCACCCCTATTTTGTGGCGTTTTATCTCCAAAATCTACCATTCCAAAAGAGCCGACCGTCTCGTGCTGCCATTTGTCAGAGTCGTTTTTTGTCGCGTTGGGCGTGTGTGCTGGAGGACGCAATAGGAAACTGACAACGACGGCAGAACAACATCAAAACCGATCGCACACAGGAAAAAACGTTTGTTTTCCGTCCACTCGCGTCGTGGCTCCGCACACCAAAGGACGCCATCACCAACACCACACAGGTTTTTTTTGTCCGACGATATGCGCGCACATACATACATTCAATGCCCATCCACACGCCACAATGCACGGCGGCTGGTCCGAAGCTTGCCCCTTCCCGTGTACGCCTGCTGTTGCGAGGAAACAGGACATGCAGGCGACGACGCCGATGGACCCGCGTGCCCTGGACGCCATGATGGAGTACCAGCTAGAGCGCTACGGGAACCCCCACTCGAGGACACACGCCTACGGGTGGGAGAGCGAGGCCGTCGTCGAGAAGGCCAGGGAGCAGGTCGCCAATCTTATCGGCGCGTCTCCCAAGGAGGTACGGGCAGGGGCCTCGCACGGAATCATGCGTGTGCGTGATGGGAACTTTGGTAGTAAATGTATGTTTTGCTGGGAGTATGTGGGAGTGCGGGAACGGAAACAGTAGCGCATTCGTGTGCGTGGTGGAGACTGTGGTGATATTTTTTTCAGCTGGTGGCAAACGGGAGAGGGTGCGGGAAACATGTGGTACATGGCGGAGATAGCGGTGCGCACCGGAAATGGCCTCGTTCGGCGACGAACGGGGCGGTCGTGGCTTGGAGGGAGGCAGGGAGGAGTCCATGGAGGCCGGTCGGGGTGCGTCACGTGGTGCCAATCTGCTTGCTGGAGTCACGTGGCGCTCTACCCGAGCCATTTTCTTTTCACGATTTTGAAGCGAAGAAAGTTTGCAGTCGTTGTGTTGTCTGCGCTGCTGTGCGCCTTGGCGGCCTTTTCCCCTCCCCGGCTGTAACTCATCAGTCGATGTGCCCCCACGGGGCCACGCTTCATCCATGCCACTTAAAACTCTACTGTGGTTGTGGACTCCCGCCCTCTACACCGTTCTTGGTTTTGGTTTTGTTCGTATGACGTCATGAACTGCAGATTATTTTCACTTCTGGGGCGACGGAGTCGAACAACATGTCCATCAAGGGGGTGGCGCGGTTCTACAAGGGCCGCAAGAAGCACATTATCACGACGCAAACGGAGCACAAGTGCGTGCTGGACAGCTGCCGTGCGATGGAGCAGGAGGGCTATGAGGCGAGCAATCCTCTCATGGAGTTGCCGGATGTTGTTGTCGTCGTCGCTGCTGCTACTGTTGCTGATGGTGTTGGCCAACAACCGGAGGAAAACACGGAACAATTTTGCCCTTCATTACCCTCCCTGTCTTTCCTTTGACAGCGTCTTCTAATGTACAGTACCCCTCCTCCCCGTTGTGGGTCATTTTTGGCAAAGTAGGAAGGAACGGTTGGCCATCGGTGATGGGTCCTGCTGTGGGAGAAATACTCCATCGTCTCGAGGATGCATGGTCAAATGGTCTAACCGCCAAGGCGTGGAAAACATGAGAGCACCCCCCCCCTACCTCCCTCCCCTCCATTCGCGTCATCCCCCCCCCCCTACTTCGCNTCGCGTCATCCCCCCCCCCCTACTTCGCGCTTAGGTGACGTACCTCCCCGTGCAGTCGAGGAGTGGACTGGTGGACCTCGACGAACTCGCCGCGGCCATCAGACCGGACACGGTGGCGTGCTCCGTGATGGCGGTCAACAACGAGATCGGCGTGGTGCAGCCGCTCAAGGAGATCGGAGACATCTGCCGCAAGAACAAGGTCTTCTTCCACTCGGACATCGCGCAGATGCTGGGGAAGGTGTGTAGGGG